AAATACTTGCACTTCCAGTTATTATAAAATAATAACTTTAAAAATCTTCACTTAGACTGGGAAAGCCATTTTCTGCAATCCAAATTCAACATGTCCAATATGTACATAAAGCTTTAGTTGCAAGTAAGGGCTTCTCTTCAGTAGGATGAAAACAGTTTTGCTGTGCTCATAACAAGGGAATGAGGAAGAATAATGGAATTGAAGACAAGAATGTTTTTTTTCTACCATACAAGCTAAAGAACAGTGCTAATTGCTCTCTCTTCTAAACTAACCCTTCCCTCAATCAAAAAGCCTCTATCTATTTGAATCAAACTTATTGCTACTTAAACATATGCTTACGCTCCAAGGTTTGATGTTTTCAAATCTCTTAAGAGGACAGGTTACTATGAATTAATGCTGTACTGAATTTTCATTAGGTCCTATTTCAGTTTTGAAAATTGTAATACTGAGGTCTGTCCAAAAGTAAATTAAAAACTTTTTGGGGTGCTTGGTCATTTTCTTGCAGACGTTTCATGACCCAACTAGATAACATCAAGTGCTTTTTCCACACCAAGCAATGAAAAATAGGCTCTTAGTTTTAAAATGGTACTTGCCATTTTAATATGTGAAAGTCCTCTTCTTTTTGTAAAGCACTTGCTAAAGTGAGGAAGGATTACCATGACCTAGTTTACATTTAAAGGGTATATAACAAATGAAAACATTTTATTGTTAAAAATTGCAAAGCAGAAACCATGAAGAAATGGTTATTGAAGATCATCACTAACAGGCCCAGTGTTCACTTCCAATGAATATTAAGAGTTAATCTACTAAATCCTAATTCAGCTGCTCCCTTTCTATGCTTCAGTCTTTTGTTTTCAGTCCAAGGAAATCAACAGAATGCTGCAAACCATGCATATTTATGTTTAATCATTCTAACAACTACATTCTAGATGGATGAACCTGGTATATTCAGCTCCACAGCGGGTAGGGCTACCTGAGTGTACCTGAATTGGAAAATGCCGTTGCACCTTTGGTGTTTAATCCTTTAGAAATCTATTACTGAGATTTCTGTATTTAAACAGTGCTTATGATCTGAGACTGTGAAGCTGCTTTTCAGAGAGGCTCTAATTATTGCAACTAGACAGGTTTTAAAAAATGCACTTGGGACATTGAAATGAGGAGAAACATGATGGATACAATGCAATAAGCAGGAGAGGCTTGTGCCATAGACAAGCAACTGATCAAAATGAGCTTCATATTTACTGTATGACTCTCCAGTACTGCAGGATACCAAGAAATGAAGGATGAATGTCTACCTTATTGGATCTACTAGAAATGTATACATTATATTTAGTTTTCAGGTGAACCTGGGATTTCACCATGACTTTTAATTGACATAAATATTTAAAATAGATGAGTTAGTTAGTACACATACCTTTGGTATAATTTGGTGTAGTTTCTACTTTGATGAGATGTGCATTTCCTAAAAGCACCCTAAAATTAGCTTTTAATGCTTATTTTTACAGTAAAGTAGCCTATTCTTAATCAGAGTAGTAATGGTGTTTATGACATAGCTAGATTAAAGCCTTTGGGAAATCTAATTGCTGATGTTGCCATTGATTTATTATGTGCTATCAAGCTGGTGTTAACAGCCATAGATAGAGGATGCTAGGATATTTTGACCCCAAATTGTGAAGAGAGAATTACAATGAGAACAAAGAATGTAAAAAAAAAAGAAAAAAAAGAACAGGAGAAAGCTCAACAGTGAAAGATGAAATGAACAAAATGAAATGAAATGACAATTTAGGCATCATTGCACTGAAATGAACTGAAATTAGACACTTTCAATCAGAATGTCATATTATTTATTACCGATGATGCAAATAAGGAATGATATTACTTTTAAAATCATGAAGGATATAGCAAAGACAGTACCCAGATACAATGCAGTCAATGACCAAATAATATCAGTTCTTTATCATGAGAATTATTCAGGTTTATGCTCAAACAACTGACATGAAAAAGAGATTGATACCCTTTATTATTAAGGTCAATCTCAAATTGGTAGAACATGCAAGCAAGATATGATTTCTGTGGTTGAAGATTGGAATGCCAAAGTTGGAAACAATAAGGAAGAAAATGTAGTTGAAGTGTTTGGCCTCGGGAACAGAAATGAATGCAGGAGAAAAACTTTCAGCTTCTTCAAGCAGTGATTTGTTCAATGCTAACACACTCTTCAAACAGCAAAAAACATTATCAAATGGACTACACAGAAGTCAAAGCTGATTATATTATTGGTACAAGGAGGTGGAAAGATCAATTATAGTGTCAAAGTTGTGCTCAGTGAGTGTCCTACTGTGGAACACATTACAATCTGCTGATGTGTAAGTTCCAAGTCAAGTCAAGCTAAAGTGGAAGAACAAAGCCAACCAGTTTTTCTCTGATGTGATCTTGAGCATATGACGACCCATTTCAAAAACACTGGGAATTGCTTTAAAGGCTGGAACTTTCAGACACCACATTATTGAGGATCAATTGAAAAGAGACTGCCAAACATCAAGAAACAAAAGAAAGTAAACTGGATGTTAGAAGAGACAGTGGAACCAGTCAATAAGAGAAGAGTAATGCCAAGAGTAATGTCAATAATGCCAAGAAAAGCAGAGAATTTAGAAAGGAACTTGTGGTACTCTAGAGATATAGGGGGTTCCAAGGGGACATCACACTAGATTTTCTCCTGTTAATGACATATTTGGAATAAAAAAAGGTAAAGGTAAAGGTTTCCCCCTGTCCAGTTGTGTCCCATTCTAGGGAGCAGTGCCCATCTCCATTTCCTAGCCAAGGGAGTCAAAGCTGTCTGAAGATGCTTCTGTGGTCACATAGCCAACATGACTATATGCCATGGTTCACTGAGCACTTTTACCTTTCCACCTAATTGGTATCTATTTATCTACTTGCATTTGCATGCTTTTAAGCTGCTAGGTTGTCAGGAACTGAGGCAAGAAAAGGAGCTCATCCCGTCACATGGTACTTGGGTCTTGAACTGTCAATCTTTTGACTGATTAGCCCAGTGTCTTAATTGTTAGGCTACCATGCCCCATATCATTGGAATATAAACCATATTTCTATACAACTTAAATAAGCTGTATTAATGGCATTGCATAATTATCAAGAATATAACATGATACTTTTGATAGATATTTTAACTTGATAGATATTAGACAAAGAAGTCAGCAGGGAAGGTCGCAAGTTACTCTGGAATGTACAGCTTTTTCCTGGGATAAATCTGGCCTCACCACCCACAGCACACATCTCCACACCTGTGGTTGTCACTTGTGCATCTTACCTTTCCACTGGCCTGCTTGCAAGCTGCATGGGACTTGCAACTTCATGCTGGCTTTCCTTGACTATGCTTGTGGGAAGCCAGTGGAAAAGATCCTTACTTAACACACCCATTTACACATTGCTAAGTGATGCAGCCATATGAATTCACACTTTGCTATCACGTTGCTCAATGATAGAAGTTTCAGTCCCAATTGCTGTCATAACCTAAGGACTATATATGTTAAGCAGGTTGTTTTGTTGACAGTGTAAGCATCATAAGATGAAGTCAGAGTCAAGAAGCTATTGGAAAGTATATAATTTCCATAAAAAGTTAATCTGAGATTCTAAAGCAGAAAGCATCATATGCTTAGTGAACAATGTTTGCAAGGAGAAGACAGCTTATCCACAAAGAAGCTTCTTGAAAAATAGAGTCCTAAAAGCAACAATTGCTTTATTCAGCATAAGCAAATGTATGGTCAGAGGTTGCAGATTGTTATCAAAAACATAAATAAATACCAATTTTGAATCCACAGTAGAATTCAGTTAACCATATCTGGATTTTTATTTTAAAAAATATAACCTTTGGGAAAAAAGATGTCTGGTTGAAGGAGAACCTTATCTCTGGTAAGAAGGTATAGATGATACAGAACTAATCTATTCGATATACTAAAATCACTGTTTCAAGCCATTCAGTTTTCAGCAATAGAAGCTCTAAATGTCAAGCTGCCAGCAGTTTAAAGGACTACAGGAGAGCTGCAGTAAAGTCACCAACTTTCCATCATAAGACTAGGAAGGAACAAGTTATACACATTAAACATAAATCTCTTGACAAAAAAAAATTCCTTGGAAGTTTCTGCAGTGAAAAAATTATTACTGGTTTCCCAGAATTCATAATTCAGAACACAATTTCCAATCTTATTTCAATAATATGTAAATTTGGCATTCTATCTGGTTATTTTATAATTTGGAACACATCAGACTTGATGCCACTGGATCCCCAGTAATAATGTAATAAGCAATCGGATTTGTTCTGACTCTTTTGGTTAACTTGGTTAACCAAAAGAACCTACTAAAGCTTCTCAGTTGGTAAATTGGACCTTACCCAGATTTACATGCAAATGAAAGAAGATATAAACAGATGGTTTTGTATTTCTCTGATTAGAGTAAAGGAGAAAGGAAGAGACCAATCTAGTCAAACTTTCTGGATTTTTTTTTAATCAGATATACAGAAGTAGTGATGACTGCTGGAGTGTTCCAACAACTTTTTACAGCTTACCACGGGAATAAATCAGAAGACAGAGGAGCTTCAATGGTTCATCTGTGAATCTGAGGACTTTTAGCTGTTAATGAAACATTAGTTGTTTTTCTCCAGATATTCTTTTTGTGTAGATTGTTTTATTTTAAATTTTGTATATTTTATGCCGCACACAGTTGTAATGGAACTGGGCAATCTATAAATAGAGTAAGATGTAGAGTACTGGAAATCTCAGTGATTTGAAAGCATGCTATGAAAGGCATCCAGATCCAGTCCTCCAACACTCCACACCCCACCCCCTTGATATGCAACATTTTCTGAACATAAGCGTTTCTATAATATTTCTTAAAAAGCCTTTGTTGGCAGCAATTATTTCCTCCCAACACAAGAGAAACAAAACAAGAATTAAAAAAAATAAAATAAACTATACTGTTATGTGCCTTACAGTAATCTGTACTGAATTCTCACATTCAGTCACATTGGATACACAGGAGCTTCTTCTAGGACACCAATAACATTTCCATTTAGCTGAGAGGCAACTGATACATCTGAAATATAGAAAAGAAACTACATTTATTAAGTATAGCAGTCTCTTCTTTGAAACTTTGTTTTCTTTATGAAACTGCAAATTCTGTTATGGCTTATGGTAAAACCATCAAAAATCTAAAATATTTTAAATTGTCTATCTGTATGTATGGGGTGGAGCAGCCACCATATCCTTCACTATTATGTCCGATAAGCAAACAAATTTTATTACATCTATGAGATCCTTGGTGCTCTCTGAGCTTGGTTGTTTTCTTAAAGACATTTTATTACCCAACTAGGTAACACAGAAATAGCAATAGCATTTAGACTTGTATATTGCTCCATAGTGCTTTATAGCACTCTCTGACAGGTTTACAAATGTCAGCATATTGCCCCCAATAGTTTGGGTCCTCATTTTACTGAGCTTGGAAGAATGGAAAGCTGAATCAATTTTGAACTGGTTAGGATTGAACTCCTGGCTATGGACAGAGTTAGCCTGTAATACTGCATCTAACCAGTGAGCCACCACAGTACTAGAAAGTAGTAGTAGCTTGCTTATATTCAGGTGGCTTGTCCTTCAGTGTTGGTGGGAGTGTTCTTGGTGATTCCTTGATTAGGCTGTTGTTTACTGCTTGATATTAAGCTTTACTTATCTAGATGTTTATTGTTCATCAAGGGGTGTTATGGTTTTTTTTTTTAGCTTTTTGATTATCTCTTTTGAATGGTATGTAGATGTTGTCTATCTCATTATGCCTGTTGATGGCTGATTTGTCTGAGTTCCAAGCTTCCAGGAATTCTCTAGTGTTTTTGGACATTCACATCTCCCAGCCGTAATTTTGGTGAAGTCTATCCTTGTGTTAGCTAATTAAAGAGTTTTCATCATGTCTTTGGACTGCTCATTGGTGTTCATGGATGCCATCAAGGACCCCGCAGTTCAACTCATGCCCTTCTAATGTAATCACATATATATTGTTGTTTTTGGTTGTGGTGAAGGTTTTATTTTAAGCAGGAGGAGAAATCATAAATTATGTAATCCCAAAATAGTATATATTCAATATCAAATTATTGTAGAGAGGGATTCCTGAATTGTGAATTGCACCTTTCAGATATTTATGATCAACTTAAATTCAGCAGACAAGATCACATATAAAAAGTAGCATGTTTCCAGCCATTTACATCTACTTTTTAATTCTGAAGAATATTATTTCAGTAATTTCAGTATTAGCCTATGCAAGTAAATTATTCTTTTAGAATAGATCTAATTTATTTATTATGCAGCCCTATTTCTTCTCTGTCATTTGATTTCTATTTTTATTATGTCTTTTTTCCACATTTTTGCTTATTATTTTCGCTACTATTCTTGTAGAATAAATACATCCCCTTTCTCATTTCTACTGTAAACAGCTAGTTTGGCTTAGGGATGAGATTTTTTTTGGTTAATTCAATAAATTATAGTTAAACTTGGTTTAGTGTAATGTATTAATATAATTAGTATCATACTTTGGGATTGGCAAGCCATTTTGTGAAAAAATCTGCTTGTTCTTAACTCAGAACTTTTAAAATTATACTGAAAAGATTGTTTTTCAATGCACCTTAGATTGCATTTGCTACTATCCATAACTCCTAACAACCCAAAATAAATTGCTTTAAAAGGATAGCAAGAAAAATCATGTGAAAAATAGCTTCTGCCACACTATTAATAACTGATGGAATTAAAATTAAGCCAAACATGATACTCAACTATATCTACATATAAATTGAACAATCTCAAAAATGTAGTTGTTGTTTCTTATATCAGCTTTCTGAGGGTTAAGTCTAAAGCTTTCAGTCAAGAATATTATCATGGGAAAATGGGAAAGAAAAAATTGCCCCAAACCATCAACACATCCAGATGGCCTGAAATGCTCTAAAACCCAGTCTCTGCAATTCTTGGCAGGTTATACCATCTTTCCTGCCAATCCTGCCCGGCATCCGAAATACCTTGTAGATAACAAAGTGATTCTAGCTTAGTAAATCTACAACAAGGTTTCCCAACAGTTTGGTACTGTGACCACTTAAAAAATAAATATGTTTCTGCTTCTGCCATCTCTTACCTCACAATAAAACTAAAAATTTCACTGGAATGAGCACTGGGCAAAATAAATAAATAAATAAATAAATTTAAACTTAGTAATAATTTTATGAAACAGTGATAACTGCTTTACAAAAACTTTACAAACTTTATAACTTTAAAAAAAAACTGTTCCAACAAACAGAAATTATCACATTCAAAATCATTTTTAAAAAAATTAGAAAGATGAACTTGATTATTTTTGCATGATTCCTAGTTTTCATTTCTGAGACAGCTACTCATATTTTTTATACTACATTTATATTTCATCAATATTTGTTCTTTATGGATTTATAGTCCTGTCTCATACAGACTTCAATATATTTATAGGCTTCTCATATTCGTTTATTTGTATCCTGTCTTTATAATTTTTTCATATAACTCAAGGCAGCAAACATATCCAATACACTTTCCTCCTATTGTCTCTACAATAACGACCCTGTGAGGTGGGTTGGGCTGAGAGAAAGTGACTGGCCCAAAGTCACCTAGCTGAGGCAGGATTAGAACTCACAGCCTCCTATTTTCTAGACTGGTGACTTAACCATTAGACCAAACTGGCTCTCTTAAATCTTTGTATTAATTTTGTACCCTACTCCAAAATTCAGGGAGAGATTTTTGTCAGGAATTTTATATTCAAAGAGGTTCAACAGAGATCCGTCAGAAGAATTGCTTCTCCTCTTTAGTAGCAAGCATACTAGTAATTGCTTTAACATTTGTTAAAATTACAGGAAAAAAACTCTTGAGCTACACAAGCATATATACACTCCTCCAGACACTTCAAAGACTACAAATACATGCCTTGCTGGCACAAATGCTGCAGAAATATGAATATTTATGACAGAAGAAAAATACAATTATTTTTGTCAATGAACCGCCAATATCCAATACGGCAATAACTGCATAAAAAACTCCAATCCATGACAATTAATCAAAACAAGTTCAAATATTTCCTGAAATTTTGGATGTAGCAGATTTTTATGGATATACTGAGTATTTTGTCAAAGTGCTATAACAAACAATATTGCAATTCCCAAGGAATTGCAACTCACAGTTTGAAAGACTCTATCTAAAAAAATTAAAATGTTGAATATTTCCTCCTGCTTAAATTGAAACCACCAACAAAGATAAAGGGATTCCTGACCAGTGGATTCTGATGCAAACCAAAGCTAAGCAACCTACCTTTCTCTATAATTTACAGACCATGAGTTCACTTACGCTGTCTTTGGATAAATATTTCCAGTTCTCTTGCAATCATAGATGGTGAAATTGGCCCACACAATGTTTTTTCCGTTGACCTGTACTGCAGTTTGAATAATTACATGATCTGAAACAAACAACCCCAAAAAAGCAAGTCACAAGGGAACTCTTTTCATAGTTTACTTTCAAGACAACATGAATGTCTGAAAAAAGAAAAAAAATTCAAAACTGTTGTTTACTCAAGAGATGAAGTTTCTCAAGAGTTCAACTTCTCCAAATACTCCCAAGATTATTTTGTTACATTACAAATACAAATTAATATATGAAACAGGAAAAGCTGGCAATATATATTTTGTGAATGATTATGTGTTAGGCATGTAAATAATCTCCATGATTTATGTTCGTTAGGAAAAAAATATATGTTTGTTTTAAATATTGAGAAACTGATATCTGAATCAGAATATACAAAAAAATATATTTACATTTTTAAATTTTGGAATGGAGCTTGTACCTAAAATTCATTAGAAACATCCCTTTTTTGTACAAAATTGGCTGGGATAAAATTGAGATTCAAAGAATTTTGAAAATGAACCAAATGGAGTTGACATAATCATCCATCTTTTATTTTGAAGCAATTTTTCATGCACCATTATTTAACATAAATTCAGTAGTTTGAAGAGTCAGGCTTTTCTTATAAAGTATTTGTTTTGGCAAAACTCCTGAATTGTAACCAAGATAAATGGATTCAAACTTTATAAATAGATTCATTCAGTATTGTATGACCATAATAAATTACTTTCACTAAACAAAGTGAAACAAATAATCAAACGGTGATTTGAAACTGGTAATTTAACTTTCAGACTGAAAAACTGTATATGCCAGTAACATTAATGAATGAGATAGTCATAGGACAAGTGTTCAATACTGTAGATAAGGCTTTTTTTTTTTTTTACATGACTCAACGTGTTCCACCTAGAAAATACCTGTTTCACATTGATTTGAGACACTCTATACTAAATCAGGAAAGTGGCCTTGGAGAAAGTCTATGGGGACAGTTAGTAAAACATGATTTAAGGAAGAGACCATTAGAAAGAAACTTCAGCTAGCTATGTCTTAACTCTCTTTGGTAGAAGATAGTCCTCAATTTACAATCATTGATTTAGTGACTGCTTGAAGTTACGAAAGCATTGAAAAAAGAAACTTATGACTGTTTTTCACACTTACGACTCTTGCAGCATCCCCATGGTCACAGGATCAACATTTAGATGCTTGTAACTTGCATGTATTTATGACAGTTGCAGTATCCTGGGGACATATGATCATTTTTTGCAACCTTCTGACAAGCCAAGCCAAAAGGAAAGCCAGATTCACTTAACAACCATTTTACTAAGTTAACAACTGCAGTGATTCACTCAAGAACTGTAACAAAAAAGGTTGTAACATGGGGAAAAACTCACTTAACAACTGGCTTGTTTAGCAACATAAATTTTGGGCTCAATTGCAGTCATAAATTGAGGACTATATGGATAAGAGGAAGGGAACAAAATACTGTCAGAGTTTCAAGATTCTGTTACCATATCCTGCACCAATTAAAAAGAGTTCCAGTAAATTCTGTGGAGTCTGTTTCCTGATCTGGTCTAGTTTGAAGGGATAATACCATCCCAAATATCTTGCAGATGTATGTCATGTCTTATATAAACTGACATTTAAGTTTGAGGCATTTTGCAGTTGATGATATCACGTCTGGAAAGCACCTGGGCTGGGGGAGACTTATGTAATTTCTGATCAGAGATGTTGTGCAAGGAAAATTGGACTTGCCATAATAACAGCTTGTTCAGAAGATACTACTATCTCTTTTAAGACTAATGATATCATCATTCCCTCACTCAAAGAAGCCTGAGCTTTTTTAAAAAAACAAATTCACTCAAAGCAGGAAACTGTGAGTTCAAATTCTTTCTTAGCCAGGAAAGCCAACTGGGTGACTTTGAGCCAGTCACTCTCTCTCAGCTGAACTTCCTCACAGGATTACTGTTGTGCTGAAAATAGGAGGAAGATATGTTGGATATGTTTGCTGCCTTGGGTTCTTTGTAACAATATAAGAATAAATTCACTATCTATATCCTTGATGGCGAACCTATGGCACGCGTGCCACAGGTGGCACGCAGAGCCCTTTCTGCCAGCACGCCAGCCGTCGCCCCAGCCCAGGTCCACCACACATGCGCGCACCTCCCATCAGCCAGCTGGTCTTCTGGTCTCTGCCGTGCATACACGGAGGCAGAGCGTTCCTCGATCTCTGCAGGTTCTACCCTCTGCAGATACGTCTCGGTGGCAGGAAAGCAGGAGAAAGCTAACACACGACGGGGGGAGAAACTGCAAAGATCTGAGGAGTACCGGAAGGCAGGAGGCACTCAATGTGGGAGGAACTTTGGAGATCGTGGAAGGCAGAAGAAAGCTATGATTCAATGGGGAGGAACTTTGGAGATCGTGGAAGGCAGGAGAAAGCTAGGATTCGATGGGGGAGGACTTTGGAGATCATGGAAGGCAAGAGAAAGCTAGGATTCAATGGGGGAGGAACTTTGGAGATTGTGGAAGGCAGAAGAAAGCTAGGATTCAATGGGGAGGAACTTTGGAGATCATGGAAGGCAGGAGAAAGCTAGGATTCGATGGGGGAGGAACTTTGGAGATTGTGGAAGGCAGAAGAAAGCTAGGATTCGATGGGGAGGAACTTTGGAGATCGTGGAAGGCAGAAGAAAGCTATGATTCAATGGGGAGGAACTTTGGAGATCGTGGAAGGCAGGAGAAAGCTAGGATTCGATGGGGGAGGACTTTGGAGATCATGGAAGGCAAGAGAAAGCTAGGATTCAATGGGGGAGGAACTTTGGAGATTGTGGAAGGCAGAAGAAAGCTAGGATTCGATGGGGGAGGAACTTTGGAGATCATGGAAGGCAGGAGAAAGCTAGGATTCGATGGGGGAGGAACTTTGGAGATTGTGGAAGGCAGAAGAAAGCTAGGATTCGATGGGGAGGAACTTTGGAGATCGTGGAAGGCAGAAGAAAGCTATGATTCAATGGGGAGGAACTTTGGAGATCGTGGAAGGCAGGAGAAAGCTAGGATTCGATGGGGGAGGACTTTGGAGATCATGGAAGGCAAGAGAAAGCTAGGATTCAATGGGGGAGGAACTTTGGAGATTGTGGAAGGCAGAAGAAAGCTAGGATTCGATGGGGAGGAACTTTGGAGATCATGGAAGGCAGGAGAAAGCTAGGATTCGATGGGGGAGGAACTTTGGAGATCGTGGAAGGCAGAAGAAAGCTATGATTCGATGGGGAGGAACTTTGGAGATCGTGGAAGGCAGGAGAAAGCTAGGATTCGATGGGGGAGGACTTTGGAGATCATGGAAGGCAAGAGAAAGCTAGGATTCAATGGGGGAGGAACTTTGGAGATTGTGGAAGGCAGAAGAAAGCTAGGATTCGATGGGGGAGGAACTTTGGAGATCATGAAGGCAGGAAAAGCTAGGATTCAATGGGGGAGGAACTTTGGAGATTGTGGAAGGCAGAAGAAAGCTAGGATTCGATGGGGGAGGAACTTTGGAGATCGTGGAAGGCAGGAGAAAGCTAGGATTCGATGGGGGAGGACTTTGGAGATCATGGAAGGCAAGAGAAAGCTAGGATTCAATGGGGAGGAACTTTGGAGATTGTGGAAGGCAGAAGAAAGCTAGGATTCGATGGGGGAGGAACTTTGGAGATCATGGAAGGCAGGAGGCAGCTCTTTAGTACAGCTAAAGCACAGCTCTTTAGTCAGATCTCTCCCCCCTACATGCACAGCTCTTTTAAACAGGGAAAGAAGATAGGCAAGAAAACGAACACGTGTAGCAGGAAGCTCTGGAGTTGCCCGATCATCAGCCAAGCTCATTAGAATTCTGGCTCTAGAACCACCCCAAACCCCACAGCCCATGAGCGAGGCAGAAGAAGGGAAAAGCCCTCTCTTTTCAGTTTCCCATCGGGCTGGCTCCACCAAAGGCTGCCTCCCGATCTCGGAGCCAGTTCCCTCCTAAAGTTTCAAGGGCCACCACATGATTTCCATGAACTTGAGCTGAGCAGAATTGTGGGGCCGAGCGAATGTGGCGGCTCCTGTTTTTCCCAGCTGCCGAGTGCTCATTTAGAGAAGAGGAGCTGGGGAAACAGGCAAGGCGTGGCGGTGGTGGCGGCAGCAGGCAGGTGTCGGGGAAGTGCTGAGGGCAGCATATGCATCTGGGATGCCCCTCTTTGGCCTTTCCACTTAGGTGGCAATAGGTGCAGCCTGTCCCCATTCACCACCTGCTCGACCTGCAGCTCCCAGTGGGAAGGAGCCCAGGCAAGCCTCGTGTTCGGAGCTTCCTCGGGGGCAGTCTCGGCCCCGCCATCTTGGCAGCGCCATGCGCCAGGTGGGGAACAGTTGTCTCACCAGGGAACGGGCCGGTACCTAGTTGTCCTCTGGTAAGAGGTATGCCGGCCCACTTGGAAAAAGTGGGGGGGCATTGGGGGGCACGCATGCTCAGTATGGGTGCATGTGTAGAGGGAGCATGGAGTGTGTTGTGCACGCATGCGTAAATGGGAGTGTGCATTGTATTATGGGTTCCGGCATGCGGGAGCGCAACAGCACTCGCCCGCTCAGACTTTTGGCACGCAATGCCAAAAAGGTTCGCCATCACTGATCTATATTCATTCTCTCATTCCTTTTCTGGCAACTTGGTGGCGCAGTGGACTAAACTGCTGCTGTTAAAGTAGTACTTAGCTGCCAGCTGCCTGCAATTACTACAAGTTCAAATCTCACCAGGCTCAAGGTTGATTCAGCTTTCTATCCTTTCGAGGTAGGTAAAATGAGGACCCGGTTTGTGGGGGCAATAAACTGACTTTGTATAAAATAGAACACCGCTCAGGGGGGGCCAAAAAGCCCTACTAAGCAGGTATATACAAAAGTACGAAGGCTATTGCTTAATGCATTGTAAGACGCCCTGAGTCTCCGGAGAAGGGCGGCATATATAAATCGAACTAATAAATAAATAATAAATAAATAAACTTCTCAGCCCTACCAGGTAGACCAGATCAGGAATCAACTCCACAGAATGGCTAATACTACTTTTGTTGAATGTGGTTATAAAACCAGAATTTTACAAGTTCAATTGTAATATACCCCTCTCTCCATGGTTATGTGAATTACTGGGGTGTCTGCCTGAGAGGAGGTGGAAGGTGGAACAATTTTTAATGTGACTTTCTCTTACAGTTAATTTATATTATTTTGGGTGAGACAAATGTAAAGACAAAGGCATAAAAAATTGTGCATACATGTGTTTCAAATATTGAAAGGAAAGAATTAAAGTTTTTTAAAAATTTGTCTGGTTCTACCTTGTTTTCCCGAAAATAAGACCCTGTCTTATATTTTTTTGAACCCTGAAATAAGTGCTTGGCCTTATTGCCATGCACTCAAAAGCCCGATTGGGCTTATTATCAGGGGATGTCTTATTTTGGGGAAAACAGGGTAGTTCACAGTACTTCTTGTGCATTTATAAGGAATTTTGTGTACCTGTGCAGTTTAATCAGTATAGATACCTAGGATATTCCCCCAAAGAATTTTTTAGGGCAGAACACAGGATTGGCCTAAAAATCCAATAAGCTACTTCATAATGCAGAGTATGTATAGAAACCAGTAAATACATTTCAACAAAGCAAGCTTTTAGAAGTCCATCACTGATCTAATGAAACATGTCTCAACTATAGGAACATTACCTGAATAAATGCAAATACTAAATACAAATTAAAATTAAGGAAGTTTAATTTAATTAAGAAAATTAAGAAACTCATCTTTAATGTCATTATTACATCATCATTATTTAAAGCACCATTTTTCATACATACCTTGATTTAATGGAAAGGCTGGATAGCTCTCTCTGGGAAGAAAACTGCAGTAAATTACTTGGTTGTGAGATTGGGGATGAATTCTAGCAGTGGTTTGGATATTATTTCCATAATTGCAAGCTATTTCCATTCCATTCATATTTGGAATGTTCCCATTTATTTGGATTATCATACCCTAAAAGTGAACAACAAAAGGTTGTCATTGTAATAGATTAACAAAAAATTCAATTACATTGACAAACAGGTTTTGAAAATACTGTATTTTTAGATTAAACTTTGTTTGGAGGAAAGCTGCTGCTCTGTTGAGTAAAAATAACAAGTGCAGCCGAATATTCAGAGATTGTGTTGGTAAAATTATAAGATGCCATTTATGTATCAACACTTGCCCAGTGGAACAGTATCCTCTGCAGAGATCTAGATGGCTCTGATCCTGACAACCTTTCACAAGGCTGTTTCACTATGCTGCTGATGTGACTTTTTACGATTGGGATTTATTGTTTACCTTGGGTGACATGGAACATTGTTTATAGCTGTTGTTGTAATCCTTGCATACTGACGAGAGTTACTGTTACAGTATGAGATGTTGGGGGACACACACACACACACAGATAAATTATTTAAATATTGTTCATAATGCTTTACAATCAGTTCCCTTTGCTTAAGAGAATCTATTCACAGACATGGCAATTCCTACTTCGCGTACCTCATTTTCGTTCTCAATATTTATTTCTGAAGGCATTGTGGTCATTGAAGGGCATTGTTGTACTCCCTCATTGGCACTGATCCAGAAATAAGACTCTTCCGAATGGGCGCATTCATGCTGTAGTGAACATCTAAAACAAGTAGAACATTTATGACACCAGACCTTTAGAAGAAAACCAATTATTAATTTTCCTGAAAAACTTTCTTCATGTTTGTCGTTTCACTAAGTATGATACTCATTATCTTAAAATGTTAACCTCATAATCAAAACACAGGAGATATAATTAGGAATGATTCATATATTTTTCCATTGTTTGCCTTCTGTTTATCTTGATTTTTTAAAATATATATATCTAAGGTTGTCAGGCATGAACAATCAGACCCACACTTGCAGAGCTCAAGCTAACTGCCTTATTCTTTTCTGCCTATCAAGAATCGCCCCAGACTGGCAGCCTTCCCTTGGGAACAAATAGATATAACTCCAAGGATTTTACAGGGGTCAGTCTTTCATGGTTGCGCAGTGACTCCAGGCTAACTCCACCTGTGAGCCTTCCACCCTGCCTGCCTGGCTGTTTCCCAACAAAGATACAGAAAAAAAAGGCTGTTAAATCCATGGAAATAAGATGGTCAGCTTTTGAACTTTGCTGACTTAATAGAACGTCAGGTAGTTTATTCAATGTTTTCCCTCAATTTCATATGTCTTATTTCTGTTTACCCTAGACTCTCTTAAAATATTCTTCAAAAACATAAATTGATTGTTGTGGCTCTGTCCTATTTCCTACAAAGACTTTTGACTAGTCCAAAATATGCATGCTGTCCGTGACTTTTCTTATGCTTAGTGTCATAAAGAATTTTTAAAAGAATATTTTGACTTATTCTATCACATTTGAAGTGAAAAAAGAAATGACATAATACATATGACAGATAATTTTATACTAATATATAATTACGGATTGCATGAGTTTTTACTATTTTCAAAATCAATGCTGCCTTAGATTATCTCATGCACAATATAATACACAAGTCTACTTATTGATTTCCCCCCACAAAATAATTGAGCTTATGTGTGAAGTCTCATAAAAAACTGAAAATTGTTCAAATGCTATTTATCCAACAATGTCTTGATTGTATTTATATTCACATAAGCTGTGAAGTCTGCATCAGCTATTTATTACTGTACAAGTCAATGAATCTGGTGAAAGTTTATAATAACATTATCTGTAATCATTATCTGTTCAGAATTGAACAGAATTGTCAGAGGGTTATAAAATGCAAAAATATTCCACCTGGTCTCCAAAGTACACCATCCACAGTAAGCATCAGCTGCAGCCAAGCAGTCTGCACATTTAGTGTATTGGTCACAAGCAGCTACTTTCACACGAGCAATCTGTGTAACAGAAAAAAAATATCAAGGTAACCATTTTAAATGATCAAACTATTATCAGCAGACTCTTGTTTAATCAACTTCAGCAACAGAGCACTTTATACTTAACCAGGCTGACTAAAAGGTTACAAACAACTATCATCAGAATATGGATGGCACCCAGCATTACCTGTCCTTTTTGATCCAATACAGATGAGATGCTAGTTGATCTCAAACCTTAGATTTAGACAATTGAAATGTTGGCTAATAGGAGGCTCATCTGCCAGATTTAGTGATCATTAAATTGTTAAAAATAGAGTTTCTTCCCTCTAAAAAGAGCAGCTTTATAGAGCTCATAATAGAACACTGTCATTTTTTGGTTTACATAATATTCTTTGAATTATATACAATAGACATACATATAAATGAGCCCCAGCAGAGATAATTTAGCTAGTTATCGATCCATGGATAATGGGTTTTATATATTTATTTATTTTTATTTGTTAAATAGTCAGAGAGAGTGTGTTTTTGCTCTTGGAATCTTAAAAGGTTTAGGACCAGTCCACTTTCTCCCCACCAACACAATTTTTTTTTTGCTTAGTTTTAAAATCATGCACACATGCTCTTTTTATATTCATATCTAGTTTATTCACAGAGGAAACTAAGATTTGCTGCTATATAGTTCATGCTGCCTAAAAAATATGGAGGAGGGGATGGGTTAGCAAAGAATTGTAACACAAATTCATTGACTGAAGCATTTGCATACATGTCTAAGATGGAAAGAGGCAATTTAACATGGTTTTTATTTTAAACTAACAAAAATAAATTATTTTATTATCCACATTTTCTGAATATCCCAGGATGCTGACATCCTATTTGGAAAAAAAATTAAACCACAGAACTTGATAAAGAAATTCTGTATTTCTTTTAATAAGTTCTTTAAAATTGCTGCCTTTTGCTTTTTTTTTCTTTCCACGACAGTTTGTTTTTTTAAATATAGGTGTTTTGTTTTTTTAAAAAAAACTGTCCTAGAAATTTCATACCCTACACAGCACACACACATACACACACCCAGAGGAGAGGGAGAGAGAAACACTGAAATGCATGCATACACACTTTAATAATATAGCTTCATTATTCAGGTGGAACTAGGTTCTGCTGCATGAATCACAGTAAGTGGTTAAAAAAAGAAAGATTTGATTAATAAAGGTATATAAACAACTATAATTTGCCTAGAAATACAAACTACTATAAAATGTTTAAGAAGAGAAGATGATTAATACCAGTACCTGCAATTTGCTTCTAGGTATTTGTGAAAAGCTAGTGCATTCGTTTATGGGTAATATGTTTGGCACATATTTCTTCCAATACCCGAGAACAGCATTTTTTGTTTTACAAAAATCCACTGCAAATATACCAGTAAGTGAAAGTGGGAGGTGGAAATTCGCTCGAAAACATCCATGGATGTTTCCTGCTAAGCATAAATTTGGATTTTTACAGACCTCAAACACTGTTTACCCTCTTAAGATGCCTTTATTTTATAAATGTTAGCTATGAGAAGAATTTAATACAATGCTGCCATAGTCTGCCATTTGGATCAATCACTTCAGTTATTTGTCTAAACCATATTCAAATGTAAGATAAGCCTTTTGTATTTGCAATAATATTGACCCCATTCAGAATTATACTGCTCCCTGATGGCCTTAGTTCCACATACATTTATATGAATGCACTCAGAAGGTATTTCTGCCAATAAACAAAACCAGATTGACAAATCATTCTGACACAGGTTGGCAATATCTCTGGGCAGTTGAAATTCTTCACTCAGGGAATAGGATTTCTCTCACAAATAAATGTTTGTTTGATATTTACAAAGGACTTGGTGTGTTTTTCCCTATACTTTATTTATTTATTATTTTTTCATTTTTTTTTTCATTTTAAAGATGTCATTCCTAACAACAAAAGGCATTCTGTGAGGGTGCAGACACAAATGTTGCATGGCTTCCACCAAATTATTACATCTTGTAATTTTAAATTTTAATCTTGCCTTATGTAGTTTACATAGAACATATTGTGATTATATTGCAAGCAGAATACCCATTCCTCTTCCCTTGACAGTTGCCATGTTAAGTATTATTGCTAATAATAGATTAATATGGCTTACACTATATCTCAGCAGATGGCAACACCTGCTCAAGCTTTTATAGGCTTGGAAACTAAGCAAGGTTGGATTTGATTAGTACTTGGATCAGAAACTAAATTCAGGGCTATTAGTTAGTTGGAAAAAAAACAAACAGAAAAAGGTAACTGCAAACCAATTTCCCAAATTCCCAAGACAACTAAATAGTATATTCATGTAATTACCAGGAGCTCAATTCAAGATCATCTTTATTTTGTTTTTTAAGCACAGGTAGTCCTCACTTAATGACTGCCTATTAGTGACTGTTTAAAGTTATGGCAGCACTGGAAAAAATAAGTTTTAAAATGGTGTAGCACTTATAACTGTTGTCGGATCCCAATGGCCACATGATGAAGACTGGTCATGGGATTGCATACTTTACAGTCAGCTTCTGATAAGCAAAGTCAATGGAGAAGCTGGCAAATAATAATAATAATAATAATAATAATAATAATAATAATAATAATAATATAAAATGAAATAAAATAAAATAAAATAAAATAAAAAGAATAAAATAGAAAATGAGAAGGTGAAGATCTTGTGGGACTTTCGAATACAGGCGGATCGTCACTTGGAACACAACACGCCAGATATCACCGAAATGTACAATTTATTGACATCACGGTACCAGGAGACGCCTGGTCGAAGAAGAAGAACTGGAAAAAATCATGAAATATCGCGACCTGGCCATAGAAACTACACGGCTATAGATGAAACATGTCACGGTGATACCCATTGTTATCGGGGCACTTGGTACCATGTCCAAGAATTTTATAAAATATATCAACAAATTGCAGATTCCTGCAATAACTCCAGTGGAACTGCAAAAAACTGCGCTACTTGGAATATAAAAAAATTTATTAAGATACTTGGTTGATACCTAGGACGCTGACAGCAACCAGCGGTATCAATGGTATTTGTGACACATTTTTAAATGTCCAGTTGACTGAGTTTCATTTTTAATGAATAAAAGGGAATAATAATAATTTTATTGTCATTGTACGTGTATACACAGTATACCCATACAACGAAATTCACGTAACACCCAAAGACCAGGTCCAACACACATAACAATCCCCAAACACACTCCCACCCACCACAATTCCCCACCCGTAAACCACCCAAACATCCACGCAACAGACCAAGTAATACTGTCCAACAGCTCACTGATGGTGGCCCTTTAGTTCACTGTTGAATGCAATTATAGCTCTTAATTAATTAATTAATGATCATGATGGAAGTGAAATTGTCATGTGATGTCTCACTTAACAATGGATTTTCTGATCCCAATTACAGTTGGTAAGCAAGGACTACCAATAAACTGTTTTGTTCAAAAATGGTTATGGGATAAATGATTTAGGAACAAGTTATCAGTTTTGTATACTAGAAATATTCATTAATTAGGGAATTACAGCACAGAGATTAAATACTAAACAGAAAATTATCAATTAGAACACTTCATCTAGATAGTTAAGATAATAATCCATTAATTGATAGATAACACTGGAAAATAAAGTTTTTGCTTCCTGTACACTTTTGGGTGAATTCTATATATTTTGGGCAGCTAATCATGAGAGTAATCTGTAATTTAAACTATTGCATACCATTTTGTAGAAATCTGTATTTAAACAATGGCAATGTTTAATGTTTCAGTATCTGTTGCCTATGCTGCATATATGAAAGATACTTACAAAAACATGGAACTGTTGCTGAAGCACCAAGTACAACTGGAATATTTGTGCATATCTAAAAGTAGTGGCTCTGCTGCTTGGATATGCCAAGTATTGTTGTTACATATGCAAATAGGACAGCTGTGCCAGAGAGTTGCATTACATTAAAAAGAAACACCATTCAAAAATAAGTTTTCTGTCTAGGACAGAAAAACATGGCATAATAATTGGCACATGAACCACTTGTTGACCAGATATTTTTGCCTCTGCTTCATATAAAACTCAGACTGATGAAACATTTTGTGAAAGTGCTGAATAAGGAAGATGGAGTTTTTTGTTCTTTGAGACAGATGTTTCCAAGAATAGCTGATGCCAAGATTAAGGAAGGCATTTTTGTTGGTCCACAGGTCAGATATATCATCAATGACAAGCGGTCCGAAGATCTGTTAGTGGGGCCCAAGAAAATTGCCTGGAAAGCATTCAAGGATGGTATTGAGAATTTTCTTGGCAACTACAGAGCACCAACTTAAACTTAAACATAACTGAAACCAACTTAAACATAGTAATGGGGGAACAAGCATAAAACAACTATCAAAGTTCAAATATCTAGGAACAACATTCATCGAAGAGGGTAAAATGGACAAAGAGATTCAAATATCAACCAACAAATGTTCTGTCTTGCACATTGGCAAAAAAAAATCAAAACAAAAAATACAAAGTAGATGGACATGACCTTGTAGATGACCCTCACTCTGTCAAGAACCTTAGAGTACTCATTTCTAATGATCTAAGTGCCCGAAGCCACTGTAACAACATTGCCAAAAAGGCATTAAGAGTTGTTAACCTAATCTTGCATAGCTTCTTCTCTGGTAATGTTGTATTGCTAACTAGAGCTTACAAAACATTTGCTAGACCAATTCTTGAATACAGCTCATCTCTCTGGAACCTGCACTGCATATCGGATATAAATACAATCGAGAGAGTCCAGAGATATTTTACGAGAAGAGTCCTCCATTCCTCTAACCGCAATAAAATACCTTATGCCACCAGACTCCAAATTTTGGGCTTAGACAACTTAGAACTACGCTGACTTCAGTCTGACCTAAGCATAGTACATAAAATTATCTGCCACAATGTCCTTCCTGTCAATGACTACTTCAGCTTCAACCACCACAATACACAAGCAAATAATAGATACAAACTCAAGGTAAACCGTTCCAAACTCGATTGCAGAAAATACTACTTCAGCAACTTCAGGTCAAGGTCAACTACTTCAGGTCAATGCCTGGAATGCACTACCTGACTCTGTAGTTTCTTCCCCAAACCCCCAAAACTTTAACCTTAAACTGTCTACTGTTGACCTCATCCCATTCCTAAGAGGTCTGTAAGGGGCGTGCATAAGTGCACCAGCATGCCTACCGTCCCTGTCCTAATATTCCTTTTTACTTACTCTTTTCATGTATTCAAATTATGTTTATACTTTTACCTGTTATCTTATATATGCTTGACAAAATAAACTTATGACTTATGATGCAGTAAGGCAAACCAAGTGTTGGGACAGCTAGCTCCACTCCTACAACAGAAGGCAATACTGATCAGCACAAAGAAGCATCTCATACAAAGCATATTCTTACCCACTTTATATTACCGGTGCCAAACACCGACACTTACAATAAAACATAAATGAAAATTAGTCATCACGAAAATGAGATATTTGAGGAAAGTTGCTGAAGTGACCAGAAGAGATAAAATCAGAAATGAGATCGTAAGAGAAAGAATTGGCATAGAACTAATCTTAAAACTACATACAAAAACAGCAAATAAAGTGGTTTGCTCATCTTGAGACGGTGCTTTGGGATTCCATACCATACAAGGCATATACAAGATGAGGAGAAGGTCAAAGAACACAAGGAAGATCCAGAAGAAGATGGAGAGACAATATCAAAGAGACACTACAACAGCACCAATATTAATGTTTGAGACCATCAAAAGAGCAAGAACCAGGATTTTGTATCTCCTTTGACAGCCAAAACGGTAAAAGACGAAATAAAGATGAAGAAGAAGACAGAGCACCAAACTGCATTCAGCTGATTGACAAACTTCTGAGACCATACAATATCATGAAGTGTAACATGTCACTGAAGATTCATTTCCTGTATTCACACTTGGACTTCTTTCCCAAAAATCTAAGTGCAGTAAGTGACAAACATGGTGAAAGTTTTCACCAGGATATTGCCATAATAGAAAAACAGTATCAGGGCAATTGTACATCCATGCTGCCTGACTATTATTGGACAATGCACTAAGATGAATTTGGTACTGAGTACTAACAAAAATCAACAGCAAAACACTTTTAGTCCTGTTGAACTCATGCATCATGTTGGAAACATTATGTGATTAAATACATTATAATAACGAAGAGTTAAGTTCTATTTCTCAAGGATCCTACATGATAAATCATTCTGAAATTATATTTGTATTTAGTTTGAAGGGGTCTGTCATAACCTTCCTTCAAGAAAGAAAAACATTTTTGTTGCCCAATGTAATGTACCATCAAATTTGCACTGACTCTTACTGACCACATAGACTTTCTCTTGGTAAATCTGTCCCCAACCTGCCCAACGAGAATCCCAATATCCCACCTATCACCACCGTAATTGAACACAAACAGTAGGAAAGCACAATTATACAAGAGAAACATATCAGCCAACTTTTCCCACTTGCAACAATCATAATACAAACATGCCTTTCTAAGATCTAGTCTCTGCTGTGTTTTGAATACATTGTCTTTATCTCATAGTGAACAATCAATCTTAACTGTATTGATAGTAATGTTTTATTTTCCATCTTGTTCCATCTAATGCACCATAAAGGGCAAATTAAAAGTGTATTAAATCTGCTTATAAAAAACATTACATAGTTTGATTCACACAGGCTCCTAAATAATGATTTCTTTCTTTTTAGACTTGCTATGAAACATGAATCCTCTAATTATGGCTTGTTTGAGAAAAATCCTGTCTCACCATGCCAATAAGATCTCAAAAGCTATGCTGACAAACTTACAAAATATGCCCAGTAATTATCTCTGCATTTCCATGATCTACCCAAGCAAGAAAAATGTGGCATCCCACAGCCCTTAACCATCTCTACAAAGCATGATCCGTGATGAGGAATGATGGAGCAATAATTTGGTAACAATGACAATACATTACAAAAATATGCAAAAATATAAATTTCAAGACAAGCCAATAAAACCAACAATTATTTTGAAAGTATTTATATTATGTTATAAGAAATACTGAGCCACTATATCATCTGTGTAACAGTGAACAGTTTGATGTAGAAAGAGTTTGGAGAAACTCCCTAACTGATTAAATTCAAACTTCTTAGAAAGGTGGATTTGGGAAATAATCTTACCTGATGAGAAGTCATTAAATACAGGTAACTGGAATCAGATGGATCAAACTGCATAATAGGATGGACAGGTTCACTGTAAGCCACCATAATTGATTCCCTGCTTATAACCTCCATGGAACTGTTCAGATTAATCTGTAAAAAAAGGGAACATTTTATATAACCTCCAATGTCATAAATTTTGAGGAAAAAGACGAGAAAGAAAATGAACCTATAAAAGATGTTAAGAAAACAGTAGCGAGAACTATGGAATCTTGAAAAATATTAAGTGCAAAAGTTCCTTTCATCTTTAACTTGATAACACAAGAGCATGAAGTAAGAAAATGGTGGCTATTGTAAACTAAACCATCCATTAGAAGCATATAAAATTCTTGAATTGCTAACAGGATTGAAATATGTGCTGGGTTATTCTAAAACTGGAGGTATTTTTAATATGCAATGAAAGAACATTGCTAAGTCGTAGAGCAATTACTTGCAAGAACCCTGGATTAAAGAGTTGAAATAACCCATGTTAGCAAATCAATGGCTAAGCATCTTGAAGTATATTGTTTTCTCATGAGTTTAAGTTCATCTTAATTTTGTTCATGTTTTCTGGACACTTCAGAATGTTTAATAACAGTTACACATTATACTGCTGTAAAATGATTAAGGGAAGAACTATCCACATGATATGGCCTTGATTCAAAATTTTTCTTTTTGATTTAATGCCTATTAGTTTGCTAATGTGGTTTTAAGAAGAAAATACAATTTTAAACTGTAAATCTAATTGGGAATTATATAACAACCATCTGAAACTTATGAATATATGTAGAACTATATTCATGGATTTATTAAGTGTGAGGCATATGGAAAGACACTAATGTAATAGTGACCTGATCACACATGTTCCTTCTCTGCTTATGAAGTGGGTCTCTCTGGACATCATGGAAAGACTGATCAGTATCATTTGGTATGATCAAACCTGAATATTTTAATTAAATACACATACACAAACATATTCTTTCTTATTTCCTTTCTTCTTCCTTTTTAAATTTTCTTTCATCTTCTGCTGTATACAGTATATTAAAGCAATTTTTTTTAAAAAAATGCCCCCCCCCAAATTTCCAGTGTTGTTTTTAGACTGGAATTAGTCAGTCATGCATTATTTAAGCTAATCAAGGTTTAACAAAACCATATTTCAGAAATACACCTTGGTTTGTCTTACAGTTTTAATTTGCAATATATTTTATGGAACGCTGGAAGTGTTGCTCCTTTACATTTACTTTTGTTCTGTTAATGACTCTCTTGAATGTGCCACTGATAATGGGCCTTGTGATATGCCTTCGTCTGGTGTACTTTATCATTTACTGGACCATATTAATTGCCTATGTGATAGGAAATTATAATTGCTGCCTAGGTACTGGCTGAACATCGCCTACCCTCCTTTTACTGTCTTGTCTTGGATGGGAAACCTGAATTATCACTCAAATATTCCGTATTACGTGCCAAATAAGAAGGAGCCCCCAAGGTAAAAAGGCTTCTGGTTGTGCAGCTGTGGAGTACAATTAGATTATAGCTATCTCAACAAATTATCCTAGGAATAAAAGAGCTAGGAATCTTTTTCTAATGGAGGTTCAGCAGATAAGGCTGCCATTTCTGATATGATAATGGAAACAGAGCTGTGTGAATATAAGCTGGGTGAGGAATGTAGTTCACATTCATTGCCTGTGCAGCTGACTCTGAGGCCAGTTACCTAGCACTTCAGTTGTGTAAACTGGGCCTCTGGGCAAATATCAAATCAGAGAGAGAACCTCAGCTATCTTTCCCACCTGCTTGGAACATTTTCAAAGCAGGAAAGAAATCAGATTCCCTTCTTTTCTCTTCCTACTCTGATCTAATATTCTAAATTACGTGTTATTATCTTCAGATTGATATAAACCAGTTTCTAGTTATGTCTTTCCATGAGAGGGTGGGGTCTATTTAGCAGGCATAGGTGTAAGCAGCATTTGGCTGACACAGAGCTCTTTCCTCAGCAAACAGCATGCAGTGAAGTTATGGCAGCTGCTGGCTGTTGCTGGGGTAGAGACCATAATGGTGCCTTAAATTTTGGTCTCCAATGTATTGTTTCAACATGGATAAAACAGGCATATTACATACTCATCAGTTCAGCAATTACTATAACCAATGAGGCATTGACCAATGCAAGTGTGGGGGAGCCTGTTTTTTTCACAAGTACCAATCAAGAGAGGAAAAATGTATAAATAGGCATTGTTAATAACTAAAAGCTGTGCAATAACATTTTAAGTACAAGCACTTATTCCGACAATATATTAAATAACATCTTGATTACACTCTAGCCTCAACTGATGATTAAAAGTTAAGAATTAGAAGATATTGTATATCCATATGCAACTTAAAGGAACAACTAATTCCTTCTTTATTGAAGAATGAAAGCCTGTGTGATGATCGCTTTGATGAGTGATTAATTTTTCTGTTTTGAGTTAAGAGAATCTTGGATTAATATGCCAGGCCAGTCTTACATTTCCCAAACACGAATTCTTTAATTTTATCAACAGGATTGTAATCAAATAAGCTGCATCAGCGTAACTTTGCCCATCAGTTGCAGGAACTGGCTATATCTAGTCTAATGAATAGAAGGACTAGGGGTGACATAATAGCAGACTTTCAATATCTTGAGAGGCTGTCACAGAGAAGAGGGAGTTGGCCTATTCTCCAAAGCACTTAAGGGCAGGACAAGAAGTAATGGATGAAAGCTTATCAAGGAGAGATCCAATCTGGAACTAAGGAGAAATTGCCTGAAAGTGAGAACAATTAATCAGTGGAACAGCTTGCCTCCAGAAGTTGTGGGTGCTCCATCACTGGAGGTTTTTAACAAGAGATTGGACAGCCATTTGTCCAGAATGGTTTCCTGTTTGAGCAGGGGGTTAGATTAGAAGACCTCCAAGGCCCCTTCCAAATCTGTTATTCCATATTCTGTACCTCATAAACATATTTGAACACTGGAGAACAGAATTATTATTTGGCTTGCTCAAACTATTATTTACAATAACATTTATTATATCCCAGGGATGTATGATGGACTAAATTTCCTATTAATGAAAGATAGATGAATACAATCAATTGAATTATCTAGAGCATGGGTGTCAAACTCGCGGCATCACGTTGCTGTCACATAACATTTCATGATGTTTTTCCCATTGTGGAGCTGGGATGGGCGTGGTCTGCACGTGACGCATCCGGCCCTCAGGCCACCATTTTGACATCCCTGATCTAGAGGACAGGAAATGTAGCATAACCCAACTACAGTGGGAAATACGTTCTCTTCTATTAACTATCATGTGTATGATTATGAAATGTAAGCTGCAGGCTCACCACTAGTCTTGACTGCCTGGGACACAATGTCAAGCTAAGAAATAGATAATAAGATTTTGCTAGTGGTAAAAAAAGAATCGAGGCTCCTTGCAATATAGACAGAATCTTCATTTACCAAGTAAAAAAGATGCCTTAGGCAGTCTACTTTCTTGTTTGTGCAGACACAGCTACACCTATTATGGGAACTAAAATTTCTGCAAGGTTCATTTCCTTTCGTTGTTAAAAGAAATTCTATTTTTTAAAATTTATTTAAAGAAAAATATGCTGTTTAGAGGATTTCTCAGAATTGTGGTTTCATAAGTATACACAAGCTGTTTATCAATACTACATAAGGCTTGCAGTTTCTTCCACATAAATATGAAGAACATGCAAATAACACTGAACAGAATTCATTAAATCCTTAAGAGATGGGAGATAAGAAAGAATAATTAGTATGGAAAATAAATGCCTCATTAGAAAACTGATTAATGAAGAAAGTTAGTCATTTTGACCATAAATCAAATAATAATTTGCTGAATAAATCACAGTTGGCTTGGTTCATTCATACTATGGTTTGGTTTACAAACTACAACTGCTTAGCATCACTTAAATGAGTTAAGTGATGGGTTGCTGCTGGTTCGGACGAACTGATAGTTCCAATGATCAGCTGGCCCCACCCACCTGTCCCGTCCTACCCTGCCCTATATTTCCTTCTTTCTGGCTCAGCTGATTCAGACGGCACAGCTGATTTCCACACTTCCGCTATTCTACTTATCAGGGCTGCCTTAAAAGGTAAGCAGCTGAGCTTCAAATTCTGTACTTTGAATGCTGCGTGCAAACACGTTAGCCACGTGCCCGCGCAAAGCACACGCTCACAGAACCGGTTGTTAAACCAGTTGCAGCCCACCACTGAGCTAAACCGATCAACATGGCATTTAGGAACGGGAGGTTAGGGTTAGGGTTAGGGTTAATTTTACCTTAAGCAGTCTTCCATTTGCTGTTCCTAAAAATACAACTGTGTAATTATTGATACTGGAGACAGCCACCGATGTAAGGCCTGGTGAAATAAACACTGGTTTAGCCTTGATTGGATGCAAAATTGATAATGGATGTTGGAGATGTGCTGCACCACAGTCCAGTTGTTCTGGTTGCAACTGAAAAGAAAAGGATATATTAGTGGATATAATTTTATTTATTTATATTATTCATTATGCCTTATGTGCTACTCAATTCATGAAGATTCTAAATAGCTTGCAACAATTAATGCATCAAGACTATCAGGACTAATGAAATAGACCTCCACTAAATATGCCGCATAATGATTGCAGGCCCAAATACTCTCCTGAAAAGTTAAATCTTCATGACTTAGTCCTACCTAGAACAAATTGTCATAGTCCAGACTTCAAATGACCAGACTTTAGATGACATATGCAACACTTCCTGATCCAAAAATGGTTGCAAACTGGCACATAAGATGTAATTAAGCAAAGATTCTCCTCACCATAAGCACTACTTATTTTTTCCAGCAGATGCTATTAGTCCAGGAGGATCTGCAAATTCTAAGCTTGGAATGCTATTTTCATCTAGTTAGATATGAGGGAAAAACCCTGAAGGTCTCATCTCCAAAGGAATCCTTGTGCAAGTATCCCATGACAGGGCCTTCCTGCCAATGCTGCTATTTTTATGGAACAGCTTGGCCTTATATACAGTGACTATGTTTTCCCTAATGAATTTCTATGAAGAAGTAAAAACAGGGCACTGGAAGAGAGCATTCAGGATTGTTAAGTGTTGCATCTAGCCATATTAATCAATGCTATTAAAATGCATATTACTGAGTACTGTTATTTTTAATCTTTTGTTTTTGTTTTTATGTATGCCACTTTCAGCTATGCTATTTATTTTTATCCCACATTTATTATTTTTATAAACAACTCAAGGCAGCAATCATATCTAATACTTCCTTCTCTCCTATTTTCCACACAACAACAACCCTGTGAGCAGTGGTGGGATTCAAATAATTTAATAACCTGTTCTCTGCCCTAATGACCAGCTGGGTAGGCATGGCTTGGTGGTCATGTGACGTGTGGGCGTGGCCAACTCATGTCGATGGGCGCTTCACCTTTACAATAATAATGTAATAAGGGTTAACCGGAGAGGCAATTTTTGTAAGCAGGGCAATAAAGATTAGGCTAGAAACAACACCAGAATGTTTCCTTCCTGCCTTCCTTACAGGATTAGCCCTATAAAGTGGAAAAAAACAAAATAAGATCTTTTCTCCGAACTGCTTAGAAAGTTAACAACCGGTTCTCTCGAATAGGTGCGAACTGGCTGAATCCCACCACTGCCTGTGAAATGAGTTGGGCTGAAGAGTGCTTTGCTTAAAGTCACCCAGCCTAACTCAGGACTAGAACTCACAGTCATCCTGGTTTCTAGCTTGGTGCCTTAATCACAGGATCAAACTAGTTCTGGTTTGAAATATAATGGCATAGAAATGCTAGTATAAAATAAAATATAGCTTTAAAATAAATTCCATGAGGCCTATATTCTAAATATAAATACAAAGGTTCATAACCCATTCCTAATTGAAAAGACAATTAGGAGTACTCTTGTTTTATGATACATAGTGATCTAAAACAAAGATACATATTTTTTTTTAAGTTCACTTGTTCTATTTAATGTACACATTTTAAGGACATTCAAGGAGGATATGGATATGGCAAAGAAACTAAATTAATTATTTGCACCTGCAATTTCTACAGAAGGTATAGGATAGATGCTTAAGCTTGCACTGACTATCTCTGGGAGAGTACTGAAACTACTAAAACAAATTGAGTAACAAGATATATGCCAGGACCTGAGAGATGACACAGTAACAGAGTTTACAGATGATACCAACCTATTCAAATCAACAAAATATGTGTCTCAAAAGCATATCTTTGCACTGGGTAAAATGATCAAATGACAAATGTAGCTCAGTTGAAATAAGAATAAAGCTATGAACATCTGCGGCAAGTAATGCTAATTTCACACATATTCTGATGGGGTCTGAAATGTCAGTGATTAAGGGAAAAGGGATCATATTAGATTGCTCAATGAAGATGTTGACTCAGTGGGTAACAATTGTGGAAAGGGCAAATTCCATGCTAGACATAACTAGGAAATGGATGGAAAATAAAACTTAAAGCTACTTTAATCCCTATGGATGCAGACAAACAATTAAAATATACATTTTAATATGTGCATTTTCTGAAGAGTAAATCACATTTTAAATTGGGTATATTCGTGTTGAATTACTCTGCAACATTAAGTAACTACTGTATATATTATTAAAGTCTCTGGTAACATTTATAAGCTAACTAGATACGTTTAAACTCTGCCCATGTTCTTTAATGCTGCAGCAGTATTACTCTATCCAGCTGTATAATTTTACTTCATAAAAGTATCCACTGACACACAGTTCTAATTTCCCCAGAAAGACTTTATTTTAACTCTCGTGTTCAATTGATTGCATTGGGGAAAATTAGCATACAAATCTTGTACAGAATCAATTAGGTAATAAATCACAAGTAATGCAATGCAGGCCAAGCATATAAGGCAAGCAATTAAGTATCAGATATGTGAATTATATCTAATAGAAGGGGTGCCTGGAAGAAGGAGCAGCTGCATCAGAGGTGTCCTTGAAAGCAGCCATAAGGTTGCCTGGCTTGCAACCTTATTTGCAAGGGGGGGGGGATCATAAAGGAGGAGGGGAGATCATAAAGTGGCCACTAAACCCATAACACTATTAAGTTCTCATTTGGGCGAACTGCAAGGATTCCACTTTCAGCTGACCAGCACTTTCCCCAATGGAGAAGGATCTTACTTAGGGTTACTTCCTTAACCAAGGTAGGAGTTAGGAGCAAAGTACGAATGACTAAATAGCCTTTATTACTAGCCTGGTTTCTTTACAATAATCCAGAGAATTTGATTTTACTGTTACATATAAACTAACCAATACAGGTAGCCCTCACTTATTGACTGAAGTAACGTCTGGCAACTTTGTCACTAAGCAGAGTGGTTATTAAGCATGACACGTGACTGCACACTAAATTACAACGTCAGTTCTGTCTGTGGGGTTGTTCAGCAAATCATGGCAGGTTGTTAAGCATGTCATGGGACTGTGACTTGCGACTTCCTGCCAGCTTCCTCAATGACTTTCTTTGTTGGAAGTTGGCTGTGAAGGCCGCTAATAGAAATCACAGGACCACAGGATGCAGTAACCTTTGTATGTGCATGCCAGGTGCCAAGCACCTGAAATGCAATCAGGATTAAATTTTGCAGAGTGCTTCTTTGAGTTTAATGGCAGGAATTTCCAGATATCAGACTACTGAAGGTTATTGATGTTTCTTCTTCCAATCTTAAAACCACACTAATCTTCTTCCAGTTTAGCATCCCTCAATATATTTTCTGCATATAGTTTGAATAAATAAGGAGAATGTGTATAGCAGGCCTGCTGGCATTTTTTAAAAAGCTCAATAAATTGACGCCCACCAAACAATGCTGCCATCAAGAAGAATCCACTGCTGCCGCCCAAAAAGACACATGCCTTCAAGCCCTTCCAATATCTCCATGCTCCAGCTTCAGTGCTCCCTCCTTTTTGCTAGCCACCAATCAGCTGATTGGTATGCCAGTATCCTTTTGTGGCTCAAGATTATTTTTAATTTATCGATGTTGCCCTTTCCGCTCTACAAGTATGCACCCCTGGTATCATTTTTTTTGCTGACCTGGAGCCAGTTTGTTTCTCATTGTTCTCTCCAGATTGCTAAATAATTGTCCTGTGTATAGGTTTCACACAAAGATAATGAAATGTTCCAGGATCCCTATTTTCCTAAGAATATTCCACAACTTGACATGGTTGATACAATCAAAGGCTTTTTTATAATTTGTGAAGATCATGCTTTAGTACTTGGGCTTTCTTGCTTATCCTTTACACATCAAGACTAACAGCTATTGTTTTTGGTCTTTTCTAAAACCAACTGGAAGATCTGGCATCTCCCTTTCCAGGTATGGCTCTAAACTGTGTTGGATGATCCTAAGCATTATTTTGCCAGTGTGTGAAATCAAGGATGTTTTATGATAGTTTGCACACTATATTAATTCTCCTTTCTTTGGAATTTGCATGTAGATAAATTTCTTCTATTCTGTCAGCCATTACGTTTTTCTCCAGATTTGCTGACGTAGTTTGGTTAGAACCTTTATTGATCCTTCTTCTGTGGTTTGCATATTTCTGTGCTGATTCTTCTGTTTTGTGTTTGTGTTGCTGTAGATATTTCTATAACCTTCCAATTTGGGAATGATGAGGAATGCTTATCTAGCTTCATATTTTAGGACTATAAATTCTTGTAGATAGGGAATATATTCTGAGATATCTTGAATGTTGACATTTCTACAATGCAATATTTCAATGTGCTCCTTCCATCTTTATTTGATTTGCCATGAAAGTTACTATTTATCCATTGGTATCATTCAGCATACCAATTTGAGATTGGAACTTGCTTCTGAATTCAGGATTCTATCCTTGTTTTTCTGTATCTGTTTCCATTTTCAGTGTCTTTACTGATGACCTAATACCATTTTTTGCCTCTTCTAATTGTTCTTCAAAATTCTTTGAGATCATTGCCTTCCTTGGCTTTGGCTTCTCTTCTTGGCAATTTATATCTTTTGTTTTAAAATCTGATTTGCTTTCTTCTGTTATTTTATATTTGGCATTCTCTTTCCTCATTCATCCTTAACAACTTCTTTGATTTCATTTCATCATTCCTAAATGAGGTTCAAGACTTCAAAGTGATCCTGATGGAAACCGGTTGGCTTTTCTTCAACATTAGCTTGGAAATTGCATGTGAGCCATTTGTGAGCTGAACCATTGTCAATTACATCTTTGCTGTTATAACTGCAGTCTTCCATCTCCTTCAACTAGTAAGAGTCCATTTGATTTCTGTGTGCTCCATCTGGTAATGTCCATATGCATATATAGCTGTCATTTCGGTTACTTGAAGATTGTGTTAACAATGAAGAAATCATTGGACTGACAGCAATTGTTTTCCTGCTTAATTTCTGTTTCCAAGGCCATATTGATCCAACTACACTTTTCTCCTTACTATTTCTAATTTTGCTA